GGCGCAATGTCACATGAAAGAGGGAGGCCTGGATCTAAAGGCGGGTTGTTTGAAGGGGATGGAGGGTACTAGGGGAAAGGCAGAGCCAGCTCCCACAGGCCCTATTCATGGCTCTCTCTGGGGAGGGAGAGAGAGCAGGATAATTAAAACCAGGCTTTGTCCAAATCCCTGACCAAGCCAATATCTCACCTTTGAACCCCTGCAGCCAGTAGAGCAGGGCTGATGCCCCTTTGGAAGGAAAACACCAATGAACCAAGCCACAGCCCAAGTGCGGTGGGCTAGCATAGGGCGGGATGGGGGGTTGGTGGAGTAAATGAGCCGATTCCCCACCCACCAACCATGGATGGACACCTGAGGCTTTGCCACCCTGAGACCTCTTGTCACCATCCGTGTCCCAGCTGAAAGCAACCAAGCTCCAATCCAGCAAGAGGTTGACCTTGATCTTGGCCTGTATCCAAGACGGACCCAGATTCAGGGTGAGAGTGACAGCAGACAAGGCAGGTCATGAAAAGCAGGGTAGTGGAGTGAGACCATGAACCTGAGCCAGACTGCTGGGTTCCCACCCTGGCTCTGCCACTAGTTTGCGATGTGATTTTGGCCAAGCTATTGGCTCTCTGTGCCTCAGTGTCCTCAACTGAAAAATGAGGATAATAACGGCACCCACGTCATGGTGGTTTTGTGAGGATTAAATGAGGTAACTTATATAAATCCTGGCCTAGAGTAATTGCTATCTATGTCTTAGCTATCAGCTATACTATTAGAGCAATTCTCCATCCTTAAAACACATTTTTTTCAGGCACTAATATATACGCTCATTTGAGTATATTTGCATCTCCCATGAATCTCTCCAGGTTTCTACGCTGGAATCCAACATTACAGAAATCTACCTATCTAACCCACTATACTGGAGGAAACTCCCCTGCGTGATGCTCCAGGCTCACCTGGGATGCTGCAGCTTGTAAGCCTCTCCCTAGAAGTTCTCCCAAATGGCTAATTGCAGTCCCTCGTTCGGTAACTTATTCCATTCTCCTTTGTAGACTCTCTTTTAATCTGATACATCATGAAGTCCTTCTTAAGTATCCCTGCCATAAAGGATGAAGCAATAAATGCCTCTGCCCACTACCGCACTGCCCTGTTCAGCACCCTCCCTCATCCCCCACTCCATGCCAAAAATGCTGCACCCCTGGGGGCCAGACTGGCCTCCTGCTCCCCTTGCCCCTGAGCTCAGGGTTGGCCTGATGCGGGGGCACAGAGGTCCCCATCCAGGCTGCCCAAACACAAGGCCTATTCCCAGCGTCCAGTTCCTCTCTGTTGGAGTTGAGATCCTCCAAAGCCTGCCCCATTCCCCATGGTGTCCCACAGGCACCTTCCTAATAATGTTCCCCTCCCTAGAGCTTCATCTTGTGCTGTGCCTCCCACCAGAAGACCCACGTTCTAGACCTGACACTGTTGCTGTGTAGTCTCAGACCCTAATACTTACCACCCTGCCTGCTCCCAGGGCTTTTTGAGGCCCTCAAATCCAGCACTGAAGGATTTACTGCCCTCCTCATTCCCAAGGGGAGGGAGGGGCTTCAGCTGCAGGAACTTGGAGCTCCCAGAAACCTGCTGTGGACCCAACCACCCTGTGAGCAAGTGGAAGAGGCTGGGGCTGAGGGCCTTTGGGCTGTGTTTGGAGGCGAAATGACTGGTTATGTAATTGAGATTCGAGTCGCAGGCCAGTGAGCACATCTTAGTGAGAGCAGCCGCTCTGGGGAATGGGGCTGTTGCCCTGGCAGAGGGGGAGAACCCCAGGGGATCAAACACCTCCCCTGCCCTCCCACAGCTGGGCCACAGGGTGGGGCGAGGAGATGCCTGCCTGGTACTGACTGGCACTGCCCTGCTGACGAGCTGGCGCAATGTCACATGAAAGAGGGAGGCCTGGATCTAAAGGCGGGTTGTTTGAAGGGGATGGAGGGTACTAGGGGAAAGGCAGAGCCAGCTCCCACAGGCCCTATTCATGGCTCTCTCTGGGGAGGGAGAGAGAGCAGGATAATTAAAACCAGGCTTTGTCCAAATCCCTGACCAAGCCAATATCTCACCTTTGAACCCCTGCAGCCAGTAGAGCAGGGCTGATGCCCCTTTGGAAGGAAAACACCAATGAACCAAGCCACAGCCCAAGTGCGGTGGGCTAGCATAGGGCGGGATGGGGGGTTGGTGGAGTAAATGAGCCGATTCCCCACCCACCAACCATGGATGGACACCTGAGGCTTTGCCACCCTGAGACCTCTTGTCACCATCCGTGTCCCAGCTGAAAGCAACCAAGCTCCAATCCAGCAAGAGGTTGACCTTGATCTTGGCCTGTATCCAAGACGGACCCAGATTCAGGGTGAGAGTGACAGCAGACAAGGCAGGTCATGAAAAGCAGGGTAGTGGAGTGAGACCATGAACCTGAGCCAGACTGCTGGGTTCCCACCCTGGCTCTGCCACTAGTTTGCGATGTGATTTTGGCCAAGCTATTGGCTCTCTGTGCCTCAGTGTCCTCAACTGAAAAATGAGGATAATAACGGCACCCACGTCATGGTGGTTTTGTGAGGATTAAATGAGGTAACTTATATAAATCCTGGCCTAGAGTAATTGCTATCTATGTCTTAGCTATCAGCTATACTATTAGAGCAATTCTCCATCCTTAAAACACATTTTTTTCAGGCACTAATATATACGCTCATTTGAGTATATTTGCATCTCCCATGAATCTCTCCAGGTTTCTACGCTGGAATCCAACATTACAGAAATCTACCTATCTAACCCACTATACTGGAGGAAACTCCCCTGCGTGATGCTCCAGGCTCACCTGGGATGCTGCAGCTTGTAAGCCTCTCCCTAGAAGTTCTCCCAAATGGCTAATTGCAGTCCCTCGTTCGGTAACTTATTCCATTCTCCTTTGTAGACTCTCTTTTAATCTGATACATCATGAAGTCCTTCTTAAGTATCCCTGCCATAAAGGATGAAGCAATAAATGCCTCTGCCCACTACCGCACTGCCCTGTTCAGCACCCTCCCTCATCCCCCACTCCATGCCAAAAATGCTGCACCCCTGGGGGCCAGACTGGCCTCCTGCTCCCCTTGCCCCTGAGCTCAGGGTTGGCCTGATGCGGGGGCACAGAGGTCCCCATCCAGGCTGCCCAAACACAAGGCCTATTCCCAGCGTCCAGTTCCTCTCTGTTGGAGTTGAGATCCTCCAAAGCCTGCCCCATTCCCCATGGTGTCCCACAGGCACCTTCCTAATAATGTTCCCCTCCCTAGAGCTTCATCTTGTGCTGTGCCTCCCACCAGAAGACCCACGTTCTAGACCTGACACTGTTGCTGTGTAGTCTCAGACCCTAATACTTACCACCCTGCCTGCTCCCAGGGCTTTTTGAGGCCCTCAAATCCAGCACTGAAGGATTTACTGCCCTCCTCATTCCCAAGGGGAGGGAGGGGCTTCAGCTGCAGGAACTTGGAGCTCCCAGAAACCTGCTGTGGACCCAACCACCCTGTGAGCAAGTGGAAGAGGCTGGGGCTGAGGGCCTTTGGGCTGTGTTTGGAGGCGAAATGACTGGTTATGTAATTGAGATTCGAGTCGCAGGCCAGTGAGCACATCTTAGTGAGAGCAGCCGCTCTGGGGAATGGGGCTGTTGCCCTGGCAGAGGGGGAGAACCCCAGGGGATCAAACACCTCCCCTGCCCTCCCACAGCTGGGCCACAGGGTGGGGCTGGGGGTGGAAATAGTAGGGGGGGTGGAGATGAAGTAGGTGTTGGTGTGTGTGTGTGTTGGGGGGTGGGGGGTGGGAATCTAAGGAACTCAACGATAATGATGTTCACTTCCATCCCCAGTCCCCCCTGAAATTCAAGTTTCTAATTAGGAAGCACTTTGGCTGAAAGGTGGAGGGGGAGTCAGGGGATAGAGATGCAGACCAAGGGAGAACTGTGCCTACATCCAGCTCCTGAGATACACACCAGTCTCAGAGTTTGCAAAGCACCAGACCCCAGCTCCAACACTGAGGGGATGGTTGGGGAGGAATGGCCCTACATCCTCCAGCCCCGTCAAAAGAGGAAGAGACCTTCTCAGCCCAGGTCTTGATCCCCACCTGGACCCCCAGGAAACTTCTTTTTCAAGCTCAGAAAATGACTGGCCTGACAGTGTTCAACCCTTCGACTTGGAAAGGGGTGGCGTGCATGTTGGGGTGCTCCAGTGGGGTGGGGCAGTCAGGCTCAGAGGCAGGGTGCTGGCCCCAGTGGGGCCCGGAGGCCCCTGTTGGCCCTCCCCAGCCTCAGCAGCCGGCAGATGAAAGAACCCAAGCAAAGCAGCCCAGCGCTGAGTAATGCCCCTGGCACCCCGTGCCCAGACCCACCCACAGCCAGCCCAAGAGGGCAGAGGCGAGGGCAGCCGCGCCTGCAAGACCAGGGGTCCCCGGCCTGTTTCTCTTCCCCTGGGTGGGGGGCGGTGGACCCGCGCCGTACAGCTCGTCGGGCGGTCCGGCCCGGCAGCGGGGGGAGTGTGGCGCAGGGAGGGGGTGTCCGGCCACAGTGGCCAAGGACATCCCGCTCCGGGAACCCCTCCCCCACTCCCTCTCCCTCCAGCTGTGCCGGGGCCTCGCCAACGGAAAACGAAAACTCGGGCAGAGGAAACGGCGGCAGGCGCCCCGCCTCGAAAACCCGGACAAAAGGCGCGGGCCTCCCGCCCCCGCTGCCCGGCCCCCGGGCGCCTGGCACCGCCGCCCGGGTCGGTGCCCCCGGCCCTGGCAGCTCCGTGCTAGCCTCGGCCCCCTGCCTGCCTTCTTTCTTCCCGCCCCCTGCCCAGGGCAGCTCGCGCTCCGGCCCCCTCCCCGGCCACCAGCCGATGTTCCCTGCAGCCATGCCCGTGGTGCCCGCGCCGTGCGCCCCAGGCTGTGCCCGCCGAGCGGGGGCGCAGCGACCCCGGCCCCAGCTGCCAGCTTCCCCTTAGCGCCTGGATCCGCCCCCTCCCGTGGCTCAGCACCCTCACCTTGGGGGGCCGGGGGTCCGGGCGGGGCGGGATCCCGACCAGGCAGAAGGCGACTCCATTCATCGGGCGGCAGCTGCGGCTCTGCTGCCAGGGCACTGCTGGGGGCGCGGGCAGGGACCAGGGAGGGGCGGGGCCGGATGGGCGGGGCCGAACGCGGAGGGGTGGAGCGTCTCTTCGCTCCTCCTCCTGCGCTCCTGACGGGGCGCACCCTCTGCCTCTTGTTAGGGTAGCAGACTGGTACAGAGGGCTGAGGCAGGGGTTGGCGCTGGCAGCGGAGCTAGGGGGCAGAACACAGCCAGCGGAAGAGAGGTGGTCTTAGAGAGGGTTTGGGCCGGCCTCCAGGGGACGAGCCCAGATAGACTGTGATCCGGGCCGGCCGAGGAAAGGGGACAATGGCACAGAACACAGAACTAGCACCGAGGAGGGAGGGAGGGAGGGAGGAAGGAAGGGAAAGGAAAGCAGAGAGAAACACAGCCAGACAGAGATAGTCAGAAACAGAGACGGAGAGACCCAGAAAGCATGAGAGAGGCAGGGACACGACAGAGACAGAGTAGAGAGAGGCAGAGAAAATCAAAGACAAAGATGAAGAGACCCAGGTTGGAAGAGAGGGAGAGACAGAAAAAAGGCTTAGGGAGCCTTCCATCCAGAGACTCACGGAAGCTGAGACAAGGGCAGAAATGGCTATACCCAAGGGGGAGGGGGAGGACGACGAGGGTAACAGGGGAACTTTCAGGGGCTTCATGCCCCTCAATCTGGGACACCCCTCCCAGGCAGAGTCTCAGCCCAGGATCCCATGCAGGCTGTAAGAGAGAGGCAGGTGCCCCAGCCCTTCAGACCCCCACCCAGCCAGCCTGTGGCTCAGGCCTCTAGACAGCCCACAGACCCACTCTGCAGTGGGTGACAGTAAAAGCAGAGACCCTCCAGGCCTCCCAATCACAAGCTCCCACAGCCTCCCTTCCCAGCTTCACTCTGAGCTGGACCCAAAGAACCATCGGGGTCCTGAGTCAATTTCTCATTTCCCTGCCCCCAAGCAGGAGCCATGCAGCCCATCCCCTGATGATCCAGGAAGGGGCAGTCTCTCAGTCCTTAGTTTCTGCTGGAAAGTTCTTTCTGCTATCTACCTAACATCCTTCCTACCTCCTATTTTTTACAGCCTATGCTTAC